CAGTGTCACTGGCCCTCATATGTGGGATCCGAACCGGGGCCCTCTGGCATCCCAAGCCAGTTCTTAACCATCGCGCCACTCGGCCGGCCCTACAGTGCCTCGTTTAATACAATCACTTAAAAGTTATCTTTTTCAAATGTGTGAAGGATGAATAAAAAATGCTCATATCCAGTTGTTATGCCTTTTCTCTCTCCTTCTGTAATCAATGCCTACATCCATCTATTCTCAATGAAGTTAAAAATGAGTAGCTGTGATTACCATTTAATGATCTTCTGCAATTTCATGCTGTCATGCTGAGTCTAGTTAGGAGATACAGCCTCTTCTTTCTTTCTCCCTCAGGTGTTTTTCTTGCTTTCTGACTTTGTTCATTGCTCGTGAAAAACACATGAATGCCACTTTATATATATGAGATAAAACATATTAAAGCCATATAATGGATATTTGGAGGGAGAGAGGACTTTTTTTTTTATAGAAATGTTGTTCATTTTTCTCATATAATTTTGTTGGATATAAATAGTTTTCACCCTTAAAATAAGAAGATGAAAATTCTGAAACATACAAAAACTAATAACTAGAGTTGTTTATGGAAAAGAAAAGAGAGAAAGAGGATTTAGGGGGAGGGCAAAAAAAGAGGAAAGTTATCAATTTTCAAATTCTGTATATGCTGAAGAGGCTTCCTCTGACTCTCCATGTGTCCCCTCCCAGTGTTCTCCCTCTTTCCACATTAAGTAACCCGTCTCCTGACTTAATGGTGACCACTCCCTAACTTTTGGTGGGAATTTTAAAGTGGTTTATTACAGAGAACTACTTTTACAATAGAAAACTGATAAAAATAGAGAAATCCCCAATACAAGTTTTCTGGGTTCTTGCCTAGTTTTCTTTTCTATAAAGTAATTTTTTTAAAATGAGAAGTTCTGTTTATTTTATGAGTGTTCTTTTATGTGATGCTAGCTAAATGGTTTTATTTTTAAATTTTTATTATTTTTATTTTTAGTTTCAGGTGTACAAAACAACATAATGATTAGACATTTACACCCCTCACAAAATGATAACCCTCCCCCCCAAGTTTACTATCCCTCTGACATCATTCATAGCTATTACAAAACCATTGACTATATTCCCTATGCTGTACTTTACACCCTGTGACATATATGTGTGTATGTGTGTGTGTGTGTGTGTGTGTGTGTGTGTGTATCTTACATTCATTATTATTTTATATTGGTTTCAGGTGTACAATGCAGTGGTTAGGCATTTATATGATCTATAAATTGATCCCCCTAATAAGTCCAGTACCCATCTGACACCCTACATAATGTTTACATTATTTACTATATTCCCCATACTGTATTTTATGTCCCCAAGACTATTTTGTGACTACCAATTTGTACTTTGCAATCCCTTCACCTTCTCTCCATCCCCCAAACCCTCCTTATCTAACAAGCATCAGTTTTTCCTCTGTATCTATGAGTCTATTTTTGTTTTGTTTGCTCATTTATTCTGTTTAGATTTCACATATGAGATCATATGCTATTTGTCTTTCTCAGTCTGATTTATTTCACTTAGCATAATATCCTCTAGTTTCATGCATGTTGTCACAAATGGTAAGATTTCATTTTTTTTTTTTTTTGTGGAGGGCAGTATCACCGGCCCTCATATGTGGGATCCGAACCGGGGCCCTCTGGCGTCCCAAGCCAGCTCTTAACCAACGTGCCACTCAGCTGGCCCTCATTTTTTTTTAAGGCAGAGTAGCATTCCATTGAATTAATATATACCACAGTTTCTTTATCCAATTGTGTATTGATGGGTATTTCAGTTGTTTCCATATGTTGGCTATTCTGAATATTGCTGCAATAAAAATAGGGGTGCATATATTTTTTCGAATAAATGTTTTGGATTTCTTTGAATAAATACCCAGGAGTGGAATTGCTGGGTCACAAGGTAGTTCTATTTTAATTTTTTGAGGAACCTCCATACTGTTTTCCATAGTGGCTGCACTGATTTGCAACCCACCAACAGTGCATGAGGGTTCCCCTTTCTCCACATCTTTGCCAGTACTTGTTTTTTGTTGATTTATTGATGATAGCCATTGTGACTATCTCATTGTGGTATCTCATTGTGATTTTTATTTGCATTTACCTGATAGTGATGTTGAACATCTTTTCATATGTCTTTTAGCCACCTGTATGTCCTCTTTGGAGAAATGTCTATTCATGTCCTCTGCCCTTTTTTAAATTGGTGTTGAGTTGTGTGAATTGTTGTTGTTGTTGTTTTTAATAAATTTTGGATATTAATCCCTTATCAGATGTATCATTGGCAAATGTCTTCTTCCATTCAGTAAGATGTCTTTCTGTTTTGTTGATGGTTCCCTTTGGTTTGCAAAAAACTTTTTAGTTTGATGTAGTCCCATTTGTTTGTTTTTTCTTTTGCTTCCTTTGCCCTAGAAGATATATCAGTAAAAATGTTACTAAGGGTAATGTCTAAAAGTTTACTTCCTATATTTTCTTTTAGGGGTTTTCTGGTTTTGGGTCTTACATTTAAGTCTTTAATTCATTTTGAGTTATTCTAGTATATAGCATAAGAAGATGGTCCAGTTTAATTTTTTTTGTATGTATCTGTCCGGTTTTCCCAGCACCATTTATTAAACAGGCTGTCTTTACCCCAGTGTAAATTCCTGCTTCTTTTGTCCTAGATTAAATGTCCATATAGGCATGGATTTATTTCTGGGCTCTCTATTCTGTTCCATTGATCTATGTGTCTGTTTTTATGTCAATATCATGCTGTTTTGATTACTATAGACTTGCAGTATAATTTGATATCAGGTAGTGTGATACCTTCAGCTTTGTTCTTATTTTTCAGGATTGTCATGGCTATTTGGGGTCTTTTATGGTTCCATATAAAATTTAAGATTATTTGTTCTAGTGCTGTGAAAAATGTCATTGGTATTTTGATAGGGATTACATTAAATCTATATATTGTTTTGGGTAGTATGGACATTTTAACTATATTAACTCTTCTTATCCATAAGGTGGAAATGTTTAATATATGACTATAAACCATTTGGGCAGGAGACCAAATCTTTTGGGAGACAAGAGCTTTATTACAAAAAAGTTCTCATTGACCAGCAAGCTCAGAATTCTTTCCTCTGTGAGTATGTGAATGACAAAGGAATTGATGTTGCAGTTTATGTTTTCAGAGAAAAAAAAACTGGTCAAATAGGAATGGAGAAACATCTGCATCCTTAATGGTGAAAGAGTCATTGATAACACTGGCCTTTTTTTTTTTTCTTTTTGACCGTTTTCTTCCCCCTGTTAAGGGTATCTGTTATCTTTAATGCATTAAGCCTTCTCTAGCTGCTATCACCAAGTATATGTCTTCAAGGATATAAAATATGAGCTTCTCCTGTTAAGTGAGCCTTCTCTTCCTGGTGATAAGAAGTGTTCCACTTAGATTTTTCTATGTTATCGACAGATCTTTAAACCACAAGTCCCTTTAGGAATATGTCATGGAAGATGTTTCTTCTTAGTGAAATTTCCCTGGCACATAAGTGGCAAAGCCAGTATTTGAATCCAGGAAGAACAAACCCGGAGGCCAGAATATTAACTTCATTGTCACTAAAGCAGTGGTTTTCAACCTGTGGGTCGCGACCCCTTTGGGGGTCGAATGACACTTTCACAGGGGTCGCTGGGTACTCATATATGGGCGTATCTGCATGTGGGCCTGGAGACGGGTAGAGGAGTGGTGTCTTGGTTCCTAAGACCATTGAAAATATGTGTTTTATGATGGTCTTAGGCGACCCCTGTGAAAGGTTGAGAACCACTGCACTAAAGGGAGGGGGGTTTATATAACAAGTAAGATGTAATGAAGGCAAGCGAGAGATAAATGAACAGCAGAAAAATATTAATTGGTTTAGTCAATTATATGGTGGATGAGAAGGGATTTCTGGACATGAGGACACTATACATGGGAATAACAACAAAACAGGAACAAATGGGATTGGAACTATGATATAGAACAGGAAAGATATGGGTTCAGTTTTGGATATTTTTCTTGTTATATACTCAGGACATTCAGCATGGGGTTCTCAAATGAGTTTTTAGTATCTCTCCTGCAGGAAATAAATTCATATTTTGTTCTATAACAGGATTCTTCCACCTGTCATTTCTCCATTTTTCTTAATGGGTTTTTGTACTTCTAAGCTTAGAGATTGGGTAGTTTAGGCTGAAGGTGAACAATAAAAGAAAATGTAAAGATTAGTGTTCTATTGAAACCGAAGTTGTAGAAATGTCAGGGATGATATTGTCCATCATATCCTCATCTCTAGCTGTGGGTAAATCAACAAACAGTGAAGGGTCTCCAAGTAGCTTTTAGTTTCTGGCAAAGTAATGACCTTGAATTTACCACTTGACTCCATCAATTAATCTTTATTCCTAAACTACTCTGGCACTCCCATTTTGAGTAGAGTTTATGAAGGTATAAGAGGACATTCAAAAACCAAAGAAACTTCAATAGAATAAAAAAAATATGTTAGGGCAGGAATTATGTCTTATTAAGCTTTTTATCTCTAGATCCCAGTACAATACATTCTACAAATAAGGATTCAATAAATATCTTATTTATAAATCTTTTCATGCATTCCACAAATGTTTATTGATCAACTAATTTATGCTGCTTTTCTAGGTCATGAAGATACATAAAAAAGAAAAATATTATTACTCTCATGGAACTTTTAGTCTATTGACAAAAATAGAAAAATTCCTGCATAGGGGTTAACAAATTTAGTCTCACTGTTTCCTCCAGTCCTCTTCTTGAAACTGAGTCCATCCAATCTTTACATCTGTTCTGAATTGCCATGACTTACACAACTACAACCAGGTATCTATGCATCAAGAGTAAGAGAGAACTGGATCCTTGATGAACCAATCCAACTACTCATCCATTAATCACAGTGACTGTTTCAATGACAGGGGCACCTTCCTTAAGCCACCAAGCATTCTCCTCCCCTACAGTTTTCCTCACTGGAATTGGAACTAAGAAAGTAAATTAATCCCCAGTTTGGGAAGCTAAAGAAAAATATGTTTCTTAATATATAATAAAGAATTTGACTGGTAAAAAGTACATTCATGATACTTTCCTAGGGAAAACCTATATATTTACATATAGGGGCTATACAAGCACAGAAGACTAACAAAGAGTTTGATCGATTAGGAAGGAAGGCAAAAAAAAAAAAGGGGGAAAAAAGGACAATTAACATTCAGAAATTACTACATAAAACATTTGTAAATACATTAAATCAAAATAGAATAATGTCAAAAATATTTTAAGGCAAAGGTAACATATTTACCAAGACATTTGCCTTTGAAAATATAAAGGGTATATAAGTTTATAAGGGTATAAGGATGTATCAAATATGTGTAAATGATTTGTGAAACCCCATAGAATGTACAACACAAAAAGTGAATCCTAATGTAAGCTATGGGCTATAACTGAAAATAATGCATCAATATTGGTTCATCAGTTGTAACAAACATACCACACCAATGCAAGATGTTAGTAATAGGAGAAACTATGGAGAAAGAGGAAACAGATGGGAATGCTCTGGATTTTCCACTCAGTTTTGCTGTAAACCTAAAAAAGCTTTTAGAAAAGCCTCTTAATTAAAAAAAATAATAAATAAAGTCCTGGTACATGTTACAACATGAATGAACTTTGAAGACATTATGCTGAATTTAAAAAGCCAGACAAAAAATCCATATATTTTATATTTCATTTATCTGAAATATTCAGAATAGTCAAATTCATAGTTACAGGAAGTACTATAGATTAGTGGCTGCCAGGGGCTGAGGAGAGGGAAAAGGGGTAGTGATGCTTAATGGGTATGGAGTTTCCTTTTGGAGTAATGACAATATTCTAGAACTGGATAATGATATTGTGAATGTATAAATAGCACAAAAAAATTGTGTACTTTAAAATTGTTTAAGTGATTAATTTCATGTCATGTGTATTATACCAAAATTGAAAAAAATTAAAAACTAAATAAAATAAATGTGTAATAGTTGTGGAAGAATAATATAGTTTCAAACATAAATTTATTAGTTCAATAATAGAAAAAAATTATTATGACCTGAAAGAGAAACTCCAGAATGCTGTAGATAAATGATCTTCAAAAAACACTGATAACTCTGTGATGTTTGCCATCCTAGAAAGCAGCAGAGTGCATTCTCATTCTCACTTCAGGATACTTTAAGACTTTTTCCAAGTCTTCCTTTTTTTTACATTCTTTATTCTTCCACATGTAGCTTCTTTTCTTTAATTCATTCTGACTTTAAAATACTTTACTGTGTTGCATTTATTGCTTGTGTTTATTTATTTTATAATTGTTAGTTTTAAATTTTGTACTTTATTTTGCTCTTAAATTTGACACTTTCATATACATGATACATAATTTTTCTCTTGGGCTAGAATTTCTAAAAATTGTCCCCGTTCCATATTCTCTATTAACTTTTTTAAAAAGTCTGGAGTAGGGATTCCATACTTCATATGATTTTCTAGATTATATCTTAGTGATCATATTTTCCTCCTTATATTCAGGTGTGTTTCTTTTTATGCTTCCTTAGCTGTATTTTTCATTTTCTTAGCCCTACTTGGATAATTAATTGGCACCTTCTTAAAAACCATCAAATAGTTTATCATTTTTGCATGTCCTCCTCTAGGCTAAATTGCATTCCCCACTAAATTTTCTAGGGGTCTTTGGCCATTAGATATCAGATTGTGATTAGTAGGCAGGCTATCAGAGAGCTTGGGATAAGTTAGGTCTCTAAAGGGATCAGTCACCACGTCAGATTTGAAGCCAGAGTGAGGTTGAAGCACTCTTGATCTGGTATGTGGCTGGTCTCATGAGTTTCCTTTCAAGGTGAAAGGAGAAATGAGCAGGAGCTTGAAATCTAATTCTGGCATCCAGAATCCAAGGTGGTTGTTTTCCCTGGAGGTGTTGAAGAGTCTCCCCTGGATGCGGGAACAGTGTCAGGAGAATCTATATTCAGGGACCAAAGAATGAAGAGGGGTCCAGTTTCCAAGAAGAAAATTGGGGAGGGGAGGTGTAGATAGGGCACTTGGTCATGTTATAAAAGGAGAGGTGTCCAAATGCATAGTTGAGGGAGATTCTGACCCATCCTGGGGCCATCTTCAGGAAGAGGAGGCTTGGAGGGGAGGTAATGGCCCAGTACTCATGTCCATAGCAATCAATTGCCCAAAACCATTCTCAGGTGACACAGAGGTGACTCCCTCACATTGTCCTTGGCAATACCTGGGACCCTTCCTCTCCTATCTCTAACTTCCACCTCTCACTACCACCTCCCTCACATGACCTCCTCCTGGCCCGGAACATTGAGCGAGTCTTCAAATCTCTGTGGGACGTCTGGCTGTATGAATATCCATGGGTCACGTGCTTGTTTAGCTTACAGGGAATCCATCTGGGTAACCTGTATTTGGATCAAATGTCACATTCACTGCAGAGAAAGAAAATTCATTCTGATGATAATCAATATTGTGGAAGTATTGAAAAATATTAATTTCATGATATTAATGAAACAGGCAAACAAAAGTTACAATGATATAAGAAATTTAAAGTGAAAGAACTTTCTAAGGCACACAAAACAGCCTCTCTATCAATATGTAGGAAGTCTTTCATCGGTAGAGCAGGAACAACTAATAAACAAGTCACCATATTGTTAAAGATCTCAGTGAAAGACTCACACCCACATAATCTCAGTTAAGTCTTAGCTTTCAGCCTTGAAAGCAAGGATGTTTATGCCACTTTTTTTCTTCCTCTCTCTTAGTTAGGTTACCAGGGAATGTGCACTAGGGGATCAAATTATTGTCTTTTAATCCTTTTGCTTCTATTATCACGGTAAACACTGATCTCATTCAGCACGGATCCTCAATTGCATGACTGTAAATCATGGACTCTCATGTTTTATTAATTATTGAATGTTCATTTAATGAGTGCCATGTGTGACTGCTGAAAAGAGAGGCTAGGGACAGCGTGCAGTAAGGTTCCCACCACAACGTGTTCTCCATGCTGTTTCTCTTTACCTAACTTACCTTTTCTGTTGCTCTTCCTCCTGATCAGGCCTGTGGCCACTGCAAGAAACAATCCCAAAATAAGCAGTATCTTCCATGCAAAAGTCATCCTGGACTCTAAAATGAAAACCCCAAACTCTCATTAAATCATGAAGCTGGAAACATTTCAAGATTGTCTGTTTTATCTGAAAAGCTCCTCAGTTGGAGAAGAGGGTGAGAACCAGGCCTCTCAGGGAGGGAGTTGGTCTGTTCCTCCCTGCTCTGCAGACACTGAGGAGAGACTCGAAGTTCATGCTAGCTTTTTTTTTTTTTTTTTTTTTTTGTGGAGGGCAG